ATCACGCGTTGCGTAGCCTCGTCTGACGTAATCACGCGTTGCGTAGCCTCGTCTGACGTAATCACGCGTTGCGTAGCCTCGTCTGACGTAATCACGTGTTGCGTAGCCTCGTCTAATCAAGCGCAGCGTAGCCTCGTCTGACGTAATAACGCGTTGCGTAGCCTCATTTATTCACATCAAACAGTCGAGAGGGAAACTAGATGGAAAGAGTCTAGATTCAAATTTTTATTTATTTAATTTTTCGCGAATTTTGAAAAGTTCCATAAAAATTCACCCTACAACTGGTTGGAAACACGATTACAGATTGTAGTGTGAAGAGCTTTGAGTGTCCTGGTTGGGTAGAAAAGCGCAGTCCATTTATAATTTACAAGATCTTTAGATGCGTAGTTCTGATGGAACCTTTTTGACAAACAGAAGAAATGTAAAGCATCCAGCACTGTATGACTCTGATACCTGTACTGTGGAGTTTGGAGATGGGAACGAGCCTTCCAATGCAGAGGGGACGGTTTCCGTAAGGGTCACGCACCGCATAGATGACATCTTTGAACATGATCAGCAGAGAGTACGACGTAGGAGTTTCAGACATCAGGTTCTTAATTCTGAGATTTAAAGAAAAACAGCCAAAGAAAGCATTTAAAGCATGTAAAGAGGAAAGAAATAGAGGAGTTAAGCAACACTTGATCTTTTCACTCGCCTCGCAACCCAGTCAGGTGTGTCCAGTTCCTCCATGGGCGGAGTCAAAGCCAGCAGCTGAGTGATTAACTCACTGTCTGAGCCGGTGGATAGGCCCACACCGTGACGCATTACCTGCACAACATGGTTCCCACTCAGTCAGTCTTTATACTAAACTGTTAATTTAGAAAACCAACACTTCATAATTTAGTTTTATATACGATACACATTGTATCACAGTAAATATTACATACAGTATGGTCCATGTCAAATTGACACTTTTAAGATATTTTAAGGTTAATTAAGGCCTTAGTTTTTTGACTGATGAATTCAATGCCTTTTAAGACATTTTAAAGATCTACAGGAACCCTGCCTATCAATTAATATTGCAAAATTTAAAAAAAATCAATCAAAGATAAATTTAATTGATTTATTTTTTTACCTGGCCCTAGGTTTTTAAAAAAATAATACATAACTAAATCAGTATTGGCAGTTCAGACTTTTTAAAGATCAGTGACAGCCCACTGTACTGTTAAAAATAAAAAGCTGATCAATACTGGATTAAAATGAGAGCAGAACATAGACTTGAATAAGAACACTAGACTGAGTCCCGCCCATCCCGTCCACTGGTGTCTGTGACATCATGGAGGAGCAGAAACAGACCAAACAGGACAACAGCTCACAGCTGAACTGGATCTGTTTCACACATTATCTGTCATGTTTTTACAATAAATTAATAATTATCTTAATTTCATTCAACAATCATGTAAAACAGCAGATTTATACCAGAAAAATATATAATTTATAAATAACACTAGACTGAGTCCCGCCCATCCCGTCCACTGGTGTCTGTGACATCATGGAGGAGCAGAAAC